GGACACACGATGAGGCCCCTGCAGCCAGGTCCTGCTCAGCGGCCACAGGAGCCGTCTGGGGACCTCTGGTAAACAATTGCCTCACAGCAGACAGGAGATGCTGTGACAGTCCAGAGGTTCCCCGTGCTGTCATTGTCATCCAGGGGTTTACACTCTCACCGGGGACGTGTGACACTCAAAACATCACTGAAAAGCTAACGCTGCATGCTGCTTAGACCAGACGGTCACAGTAACTCAGGGAAGGGGGTGATGGGTGAGGTAAAGGGGTCTGGGGGGCTTCCCAGAGGACTGGCACTGCACAGAAGTGGCCAACTTCGATTTCGTCAAATCAACACAAGAGGCAGAAAGCACAGAGGACAGAGCCCTGTGGAGGGTCAGAGCCCTGGATTCTGGTTCTGACGCCACATCTGAATCACTCTTCGGCAAGTAGGTTCCGTCAGCCCTGGTACCTCTCTTCCCTCGTCTCGCAGTGGTGCTGGCGGGACCCTCCCAGGGGACCTCCCAGACTGCCGTGGGGTTCAGACAAGAGGCTGAAAGTACAGATCAGGACTGAGGGGCCAGGTCAATGTCAAGGTTGCTAAGGAGCCGTGGATCAGGACAGCCAGTGGAAGCTTCGTGATCAGAGAGCGCTTTCCCTGGTTGGTTTATTAATGGTGTCAAGTGCTCAGAAGGATGCCTCTTCCTAGGGAGGATTTACAAACAGTTATTGAATGAAAGAAAAAGGGTGACTTGATCCACCTTCAGGACTGGCCAGGACTTGGAAGCTGGTGCGAGCAGCCCCTCCCCACGTGGATTGGGATGAGGTTATGAGGGGCCATGAGGCCGGCAGCTAAGCAAGGAATAACACAGCAATCCTACTCTTGGGCATATATCTGGAGAAAACCATAATCTGAAAAGGTACATGCACCCCAATGTTCATTGAAACACTATTTACAATAGCCAGGACATGGAAGCAACTTAAATGTCCATCAACTGACAAATGGTTAAAGAAGATGTGGCACATAGATACAATGGAATACTACTCAGCCATAAAAAAGAATGAAATAATGCCATTTGCAGCAACATGGATGGACCTAGAGATTGTCATACTAAGTGAAGTAAGTTAGACAGAGAAAGACGAATATCATGTCTTTCAAATATATGTGGAATCTTAAAAAAGGGTACACATGAACTTATCTACAAAACAGAAATAGAGTTACAGATGTAGAAAACAAAATTATGGTTTCCAGAGGGTAAGTGGGGGGAAGGATAAATTGGGAGACTGGGATTGACATACACACACTACTATATATAAAATGGATAACTAATAAGGACCTACTGTATAACACAGGGAACTCTACTCAATACTCTGTAATGACCTATATGGGAAAAGAATCTACAAAAGAGTGGATACATGTATACGTATAACTGATTCACTTTGCTGTACGACAGAAAGTAACACAACATTGTAAATCAACTCCAATAAAAATTAAAAAAGAAATAACACACAGGGTGAGGCTAGTGCAAAGGTAAACAGATGGCTATGAAAGACCACGGAAGCACCAGCTCCCCAGGACACATCCTCAGGTTTCCTGGGGGAGGAGTTTGGGGCTGAGAGAAGCAGAAGCTATGAGCTGAGGGAGAGGGAGGGGGTGAGTGCACGTAGCTCCTTTGAATCTCTGTATTTCATAAACAAAACCAGATCCCTTCAGGGACCATCTCTCTGGATGAGTGGCCTCGGTCCAGCAGGGAATCCTGTGCTTTCCTTGATGACGACCTGCTTCAGCCACTGGCTCTCCAGGGGGCCCAGAAGCTCAATCCCCACCCACCTTCCAGAAACCTGATCGCTGACCCCGACCTCAAGGGAGACTGTGGTGGGCAGGCACTTAGAGTCCTGGTGCTGTCAGGCGGCCCAGGGAACCCAGCAGGTATATGCAAGAAGAGGTTTTTACTTGGATGTAATTTAGAACTTTGTTTTCCTAAGGGTTTTTGATTTTGTTCCTTTCTCCTTTGGCTTGAGGTTGCAGTAAAACACAAGATCAACTAGAATAAGTACCAGACTGGCTGTAAGTTCAATGGGAACCAGAGAGGGGGATTTAGAGCCAAGGTTGAGAGGCAGTGCATGAGAAGGAGGTGTGTGCGGGCTCTGCAGGCTGGCTCCTCTCCTCTGTGCACCTGCCTCCCCTCCATCTTGCTTCTGCATCTCCTGCTCATCCCAAATCAGTGATGGAGGATTGCACCTCCCCCGAGGATGCTGTGCTCCACAGAGCAGGACTCTGTTCATTGCTCTTCCCCAGCCGTCCATCGAAGCCACCAAGGCTGTGCCCCAAATGAGCCTCTTTCCAGGGACCCATGAAAGGACTCCAGGCCTGATCTGTATTGAGAAGGGCTTGACTTTGCCTACGAGCACCAGCTCTCACCTCAGAGAGCAGGTCTGGGCTTCCTGAGAACCTACAAAAGCTATAGGGAGTCTCCATTAACATAGGGCTGGGAAAAGTGACAAAGGGACATGTGGGTTTCCCAAGGGAAGAGAGCAGAAGGGAATATTGGACATTTAGAAACAGTCAGATGCCCACTCTTCCTGCTCTGCGTACGTCCTCACAACTGTGAAAGGTCAGTATCATTACCTCCATTTTACAGATGAGAAAACTGAGGCTCAGAGAGGTCTATGGACTTTCCCAGGACCCCACAGCTGTGAGCAGCAGAGTTTCGCCTCCAGGGCTGTCTGCGTCCAAAGCCTCTGTTCTTTCTGCTCTCCTGGGAGAAGGACAGACAAGGAACCAGAGCTCACAGCCATCCCGGTGCCATTTATGGTACCCCAAGGTGACACCCCCCCCCATACGGGACAGGGTTCAGGGCGTCACCCCACGAACTGAAAGAATGGTCTTCAACCAAAGCCAGAGCCGCACTGGGGTTCTGAACCCTTCACCCTCAAGGAAATTACAGAATCCCTATGAAGTTTCCGAGAAGACTTCTTGTAAAAATGATGAAAAGATTGATACAAATAAGAACCGAGGCCCAAAGGGAAATAATGTGGGGATGCTGGCTGGGAAAATGAACTGGCTGCCGATACACAGCCTGTGAGCTTTTGAAGCAGAGCAAACAGAGCAAACAGAGCAAACAGAGCTTTGAACAGAGCAAACAGTTCATGGTGTCCAGCGGAAGCAAGCCAAGGGTGAGAAACGCCAATTCAGCTCCCGCCCTGGGAGGCCTGTGAAATCAAGTAGTCCAGTTCCAGGGAATCTAGCTGGAGGCAGTGTATATATTTTAAAAAATGACTTCTTAAGTCTCTTTTCAAGCCTTAAGCCTGGAGTTGTGGAATGCTGAGGAACACATTGGAGAGCAGACGGGGGCCGGGGGAGATGGATTTAGCTGCCCAGTTCATACGGAATGAAGTTGCTATGGCTTCTTCTAATGACATCAGGTGTCCAGACATGACAGCAATACATGGAGAGGAGTATTTATGTAAACAAAAGAAATATGAATAGAAGGGAGAGAGTAAACTAAATATAAACTCTCAGTTCAAAGTCACAGAGAGAACGGCCAGCGCTATTTTCGGAGGGGGGTGTGTAAGTGCATGGGGGGTTCTATTTATAGACAGAAGGTGGTATGTAACCTCTGATGGCGGCCGGCTGCTTTGGATGGTGGGCTGTCCAACTCACGCTGAAGTGGCCTATTGTCTGCTCGTCCCCACAGGGAAGAAAGCAAGAGAGAAAGAAAGGAGCAAGTACAGTTTTCATCTCCTGCGCGCCTGCCTGTTTGTATGGTGTGCGTCTCATCCTCACGCCTCTGCCTCTGTCTTCTGCACCATCCCTTCCTACATCCTGTGCATCCTTGAAGGCTCAGCCAGGCAGTCTTCTGCACGAGGTCACCCTCAGGACCCCGATGCCCCCCAATGCATTGCATCTGCTTTTTAAGACAATGGGCACGTGCACAGTTTACGTAGTTTTCTTCGGCCACTCTGCTTCCTCTCTGACTGTGCTGTGGGTTCGCCGAGGGCAAGGCTGGGCTTCCATTAGGAAGCCGAGCACATAGTAGATGCTCGAGTTTGATTTGTTTGCTCAGTGAATCACTGCTCCGAAGGACACGTGAACTTGAATCCGTGTGCAGGAAAGGGATTTGTCAGACACAGGGAGACGGGGCCGAGCCTGAGGTCTCGTTCAGATGCAGGGGGATGACAGCGATTTCCTGAAATCCCGCCCTGCCCTCCCAGGACCTTGCGCATCTTTCAGGGGAGGTTTCAGGATGATTGCGTTATGAACTTGGCCCATAGTTCTCTGCTTCCATGTGATTGCATACGAAGGAGAAGTACAGACAAGGAAGAAATTGCTGCTCTTTGGGGTCTTTTTTTTTTTTTTTGCGTGTTTCCCAGAAGAGGGCAGCATCTCCCTAAGATTTCTCTCATCCGGTGGTGCAGCCCTTCCTGGCAGTCTTAGAAGGAATAGTGGATTCATTGGTAGCAGAAAATGGTCTCAGATCCCTCCATTCGGATTCACGGGGGATGGGGATAGCCATGGGAGAAGGTGTGTGTTGGGGGGGGTGGTTTGGGGGAGGTGGCCTGCTCCCTGGGGAACAAGCTTTTTCAGAAGGTCACTTGCCCACAGTGGCTTAAGAACACGGTCCCATCAGAAGGCATTAGTGGGTGTTTGGAAACCTGGCAGAGCTTTTGTGCCCTGAAGCCCGAAGGTGAGAGTGCAAGGTAGTAGGGAGAGGGCAGTCCGGCTGGAACCTTCTGCCAGGCCCATCCTCACCAGTCTGGGCACCGGGAGAGCACACAGTTGCTTCTAAGGCAGGCCTTTGATGGGCAGGTGGGTGACTCAGTCACTCTGCTAGTTAGAGCTAGGACAAGCCCTGGGATCTGCTAACATCTGTCCACCCCTCCCCCACCACTAGGAAGGGACAAGGTCAAAGGTAGTGTCTGAACTTCATTCCCACCAACACCGGTTCTCGCCAAAATTAGAGACGTTGTAGGGCCCCGGGCCATTGACTTGTCTTCACTTTTCAGTAAACAACCAGAAGGGCAGATGGGGGAGACCTCACGGGTGGAAATCGATGCTCGTGGACAGTTGCCTGCTCTCTGGGTCAGGTGGTGAATGCGTCAGTCAGGCAGGGGCGCAGCAGGCCAGGGAGGGACTCCAGGGAGGGGTTCCTGGGGCTGTCTTCCTCCGTGCTCTCTTTTCTCTTCTGGATGTCTTTATCTGCGGGCGGCGGCATGTTTGCTGGAAACAAAAGAGCGGCAGCTAGAAGCGCCTTTCAAGTTTGGAACTGAAAGGATCTGAAGTTGGTGGAGGGAGAGGATCAGGTGGGGTGAGGTAGGTGGCATGGTCCCGTGTGCCTGAATGACCGCACTCAGCGACACCCTCCCGAACTAGCCCAGATTCCCTAACTGTTCTTGCTTCCTGGGCAATGGGGACTGACGTTAAGAAAGCCTTCAGTGTCGGAAGTGTCGTTCTCCCTCGGTGAAGCCCTGACCGCGCTTTAGCAGGAGACCAGCCTTACCGTGCAACACCCCAGGAAGCACGTTTACCCTGTATGCTGGGCAAGTGGACGAAGGCAAACGCCTCCTTCCCTTCCACGCCTCTGGCTGGAGACCTCTGTGCGTGCAGGGAAATCAGCACAGTTGCTTGCAAGCCTCAGGAGGCTAGCCTGTGCTCCCAGACTGCACCTTGGTTTACATTTGCCTCTTCCGGCTCCTCCGGATCAGCACTCACTCTGCATTTCCTGGTCTTTGTGGTTCGTCAGCCCCTTAACGTTGCTTTAGCTTCACTGGCGTGTTGTGTGTGAGGATGATTTATGAGTTAGAAGCCTCCCAACCTCTGGCATGCTGGAACTGTTCCTTGAATGTGGCTCCGTTGTGAGCTGCTGTCATCACAACTTATATCACAAGCATCTCTTGCCCCCAGGACATGACTGTGTTTTGAAAGCATTTCTGTCCTATGTTGCTTGTGCAGATACCTGGGAGAAAGCTTCTTCCATTTCTGTTCAGTTTGTGGAGAAGGGTTTTAGCGATGCCTCCGTCGTACAGTCTTCAGCCCTGAAGCTCTTACTGTCTAGGCTCTGGTCCCAGTTCCACTGCCAAGCTGCCGGGCAACCTTGGACAAGTCACTGCCATGTTTAACACCTCATCTCACCAGCTTCGTATTTTATCTCTGGAAGCAGAAAGAAAATGAAGTTTTCTGCCAGTAGGCTGAGAAAAGTCGTTCCAAATACAAACTGAATAGGATCAGAGAATCAAGGAAGCACTCGCTCATGGAGGTTGGTGAGTCAGCAGGAAAATATTGCCATTTCGGGTGTCCATCTGCCTATGTTTAACTCTTCATCTGAGAAGGGGTGAAGTGTTGGAAAGTGTTGAATATTGGCAAAAATGGGAAATGAGATCAAAGCCTCGGACCTTTGGGACAGGACATACCACTGCTGGCCCTTGTGAGGACAGCTGCTCTGACAGCTGTGCCCTCCAGAATATGCTGTGGGCATCAGCCTGGCAGCAGGGTCCCTGGCTGTGCCTGATACCCAATAGGGATGCTGTAAATATCTGGGAAGTGAGTGGACAAGTGACTGTCCCTGGTTTGGGCTGGTGCCACTCAGAGGGCATCCAGAGTGCCCTGGAGGGCGGGGCTTGGGCAAGAGGGACATTCCTGCTGCTGGATCATGGTGAGAGTGACACTTCATGAGAGCCCAACCCTTTGGAAAGCCCTGTGCTTTAGTCCTGCGCTGACACCCCAGCCCACGATGGAGAGCCAGCTCCAATGGCATGCAGAGATGCACGGAGTCACAGAGGCAACCAGAGGGAAGGAAGGGACACAGCTTCTGCAAGTTGGTGCTGAACGAGACCCAAGACTCACGTTCAAGACAGCCCATAAACCAAGCACCAAGGAAAATTCTGCCTCTGCTTCTTTCTCTTCCATTGGACCCTCTTGGGCTGCCCTTTTTTTTTCTTTTTTTAAAACGTGCCTCAGAGAACTTTCTTTAGGGATAGTTGAAATATTTCCCCATTTTTATTTTATTTTTAAAATTTATTTATTTTATTTATTTGGCTGCGTTGGGTCTTCGTTGCTGCATGTGGGCTTTCTCTAGTTGCAGTGAGCGGGGGCTACTCTTTGTTGGGGCGTGGGCTTCAGTAGTTGTGGAGCACAGGCTTCAGTAGTTGTGGCTCGCGGGCTTAGTTGCTCCACGGCATGTGGGATCATCCTGGACCAGGGCTCGAACCTGTGTCCCCTGCATTGGCAGGAGGATTCTTAACCACTGTGCCACCAGGGAAGTCCCTTGGGCTGCACTTTTATGTCTTCATTTCCCTTGACCTAGGGAAAATTGACTTTTGCATGGAGTATAGAGCCCTATGAGTTTTAACATATATAGAATCATGTAACTGCCACTATAATCAGGATACAGGACAATTCTACAACCCTAAAGACCTGCCTTATGCTACCCCATTGTAGGTTCTCTTTCCCCATGTCCCCAGCCTCTGGCAATCACTGACCTTTTCTCTATCACTGTAATTTTGTCTTTTGAGAATGTCATGTAAATGAAATCACACAGGGTATAACCTTCTGAAACTAGCTTCTTTCACTCAGCATAACGCCCTTGAGATCCACCCGAGTTGTGTGTGTATCCACACTTCTTCATTATTATCCTTTTTATGACTGAGTACCATTCCATCGTATGAATGGACCACTGTTTGTTTATCCATTCACCCGTTGAAGGGCTTTGGGGTTATTTCCAGTTTTGGGTGATTATGAATGGAGCTGCTATAAGTATGTATATACAGGTTTTTATGTGAATAGGAATTTTCACTTCTCTCTGTTAAATACCTAGAAGTGAGGTTACTAAGTCATAAGATATGTTTAACTCTATAGGAAACTGCTAACCTGTTTTCAAGAGTGGCTGTGATGTTTTGTATTCCCACCAGCAGATCGTGAGAGCTCCAGTTCCTTTGCATTCTTGTCAGCACTTAATACTGTCAGCACTTTTTACTGAGCCATTCTAATAGCACATGTTTTTAATTTGAGTTTCTCTTAATGGCTGTGATTTTGAACATCTCTTCATGCGTCTAGTTTCCATCCATATTTCCCTGTGGTGAAGTATTTCTTCAAACCTTTCCCGCATTTTTAAACTGGTTTGTTTTTTCTCCTTATAATTGAATTCTGAGAGTTCTCTCTATATTCTGAATATAAGTCCTTTATCAGTTATGTTTTTCAAATTTTTTCTCTTAATGTGCCTTTTCATTCTTTTAACAGTGAATTTCAAAGAGCAGAAGTACTTAATTATGATAAAATCCAATTTCACGGTGTTTTATTTTAGGGGTCTTGCTTTGGTGTTTTATCTCAGAAATCCACGTCTAACCCAAGATTACAAAGGTTTTGTCCTATGTTTTCTTATAGAATTTTTAAGTTTTTAAGTTAATTTTTAAGGTTTTAAGTTTTACCTTTAGGTCTATTGATCCACTTTGAGTTGATTCTTATATGTGGTGTCAGCCATTGATTGAAGTTCATTTTTTTGCATATGCGTATCCAATTATTCCAGCACCATTTGTTAAAAGTACTAAACTTTCTCCATTGAATTGTCTTTGAAACTTGGTCAAAAATCATTTGATCATCCATGTGTGGGTTTATCTCTAAACCCTCTATTCCACTTCATTCATCTATTTGCCAATCACTAAAAATACCTCATTGTCTTGATTACTATAGCCTTATAAGAAGTTTTGAAATCACGGAGTGTAAGCCCTCCAACTTGGTTCTCCTTTTTCATAGTTGTTTTGATTATTCTCATTCCTTTATCTTTACATATGAATTTTGAAATTAGCTTGTCAGTGTCTTAAAAAAAAAGGCTGTGCTGGGATTTTGATTGGCATTGTCATCTTTACTATTTGAGTCTGTCTTCCCATTTAAATCTTCTTTGATTTCTTCTATCTGCATTTTGCAGCATGCAGATCCTATCCATGCTTTGTTAGATTTATACCTAAATATGGTCGGGCTTTGGAGCTATTATAAATTATATATATGTAAATTTTACATATATGTATATAGACATATTTAATTTCAGTTTCCAATTGTTCATTGCTGGTATCTGGAAATATGATTTATTTTTGTGTGTTGACCTTGTATGCTGTGACCTTGCTAAGTTTGTTTATTAGTTCTAGAAATTTTTTGCAGGTTCCTTGGGATTTTCTACATAGGCAATCATATAATCTGCAAATAGTGATAACTTTCTCCGTGTCCGATCTAGATAACTTTCTTTTCTTTTTCTTTATTGCACTAAGAATTCCTGTATGATGTTGAATAGAAGTGATGAGAATGGACATCTTTGCCTTGCTCCTGATCTTAGACCAGCAGCATTCTGTCTTTCGCCATTAAGTATAATGTTAGCTACTGGCTGTTTTGTAGATGTCCTGCATCAGGTGAGGACGTTTCCTGCTATTCCTGGCTTGCTGAAACTTTGTCTTATGCATGGATATTGAGGTCTGTCAAATGCTTTTTCTGCATCCATTACTATTATTGTGTGGGTTTTTTTCCCTTTAGATATTAATATGATGTACTATATTGATTAATTTTGGATATTGAATTCCTGAGATAAGCCCTACTTTGTCATGGTGAATTGTTCTTTTTATACCCATGCTCATTTTTAACATTATTTGAGCTGATACACTCTCTGTGACCTTCCCAAAAGGTAAAGGTTTCTCATACCTTCCTGGGCATCAGTTCCTGAGATTATTGGACTGAGAGTTTCCTGAAGTCACATTTTAGAGGGAGGGGATGGTGTGATGTGCACATGGATAAACCAAGAAGTCCCTGTAATATAACAGGAATCTTTTGGATGAGGGACCAGAAGATCTCTGTCATTTCATGGCTTCTGTACTATTCCTATTCATGCTTGGTGGAATTTTTTTTCCCCCATCTCATTCCCAAGACAGAAATTTTGTATGATTTTAAGTTCCAAATGACTAACCTAATAGACTAAAATCTCTACTCATTCATTTATTCAATAAATATTTATTGAGAGCCTATGACGTATCAGGAGCTGTTCAATGCTGGGGATGCTATTACAGGTAAAAATTTAGTTCCCACCTTCATGGGACTTATAGTTTGGTGGAGGAACCAGACGTGAATCAGACAGACACACAGATGCTAATAGGAGAGAGTGCTGGCATACCATTTTATGGTCGTATATCATTTTTCTACTTCAAGGTCCTCAGTTAAGAATTATGTTATATTTCAATTTCGTTATCTATCCTGATTTTTAAGACCATGTGTAGGCAAGCGGTTTAGCTCATGCTGGCTACGCATGATGTTAGGACTTCAACTTCTGGCTGAATTGATGATAAACAAAGGGAAAAATGATGACTCCATGAGAAAGACCCATTCATATGTTTCCTCTCCTCTTACAGAATGCCTTCAGTTGAGAGGATGCTCAAGAAGACAAGGTATCTTGAGAAACTGCAAGAAATGTTATGGGGAGAAGTGGGGAAGAAGAGAGGAAAGTTTTCAGGCTAGTTGGACTCTGGAAATTCCAGTCCCCGCCCCCCTTACTCATACTGGGATCCCAAGTTGCCAAGTGAAAGCAAGAAGTAGGAGGAGAGTGAGGCAGAAAATGTAGTGAAATGTAACTTGGGAAAGGAGAACTGCTGATGCATTCCTGGCATTCAACACAAATTAGAGGCCTACCTAAGTCACATAAGGATTTAGGTAGGAGGGTCTCTGAGCATCCATGGGGGCAGTAGATATCTTGGATTTTGGGACTAGAAGCATTCCTAGAGATCTACTGGTCCAACCCCCTGATTTAAAAAATTAGGAAATTGAGACTCCAAGAGGGAAGTGACTTTACCTTAGAGTCATCTAGCAGGCTAGTAGCTGAAGTGGCTCTGAAACTTAGGACTGGGACTTCCAGAAGGGATCTCTCATCTCTTCCTCCTATTGATGGAGACTGAGACCCCAAACAGGGACAGGAACACAGAATCAGAGCAGCGTCATGGTCTCTAGACCCCAACGGAGAAAGGAGAAAGTGGGTGAACATAGCCATTCCTAATCCAAAGCTGGAAAGGTCGGATTACATACTTACTGATAGTATAATGATTATAAGCAACATTAACTGAGCACGTACGTGCCAGGCACTGTTCTACATGCTCAACTGCTTTAATCCCTTCAACAGCGCTATGAAGTAGGTGCCAGTGTTATTTCTGGTTTATAACTGTGAAAACTAAGGCGCAAGAGAGGTTAACGAAGCTGCTTAAGGTGGCACAGTCAATAAATGGCAAAAGTGGAATTAAATCTAGGTGACCTAAGTTCAGAGCCAGCCACTTAGCCATATGCTAAAATGTTTCAATGCAGACTGAACACCACTTAGGTGCTCCAGTCCTAATTCCTCACACAGAAAAGCATTCCACACCTGATGGAACCAGATTTATTGCCACCTCCAGCCACCTGGTACCTGCGCATCAGAAAACTTGAGCATCCTGTCTTCGAGGTGGGCCTCAGGACACAAAGCCTGTGTGCTGCCTTTGAAAGGAAAAAGTCTAGTGGTTCTAGAAACCACTCATGCTGAAAAGAAAGCTGGCTGCTGACCCCAAGTACCAGTGTTCCCTTCTCCCACTTACTCTAGTGCTGTTGGCAGTGCGCCAGGGTCTCTACAGCACACTCACTCCCCATTCTTTTATAATTCTGTTCCACCATTGTTAGTCTTCTGGGTATTACCCAGTGCCCATAAAGCATATTAAATTAATTTCTGCTTCCTCACTTGACATTTATATTTGAGAAGCAACTCTGTGATGGGGCAGGGAGGTTGCCTGGAAAAATGCTAAATTAATATCCCGTTGAGAGATGGGTACCAGCTTCTTTTGATTACATAATATATGTGCCTCTTCAATTGTCTGATCATAACTGCCTACTGTCAGTTGGAACAGAAGCTAACTGCCCTCTCTAGGAATCAGATGATCTGATCAGAATCAGAAGGCTTTCTTCAAAGAGGATAGACTCAGGGTTTTCCTCATGCTTTCTATACCCATGTCCCTGTTGAGTACTGATCAATATGGCAAGGAAGGTTCCTTCACATTCCCTTCAACAAAGACTTATGGAAAGTAGGAAGGAGGGCGGTCCAAGAGAGGGACCAATCACAGCATCCCTCACACCAATGTTTGCCACGTATTACATTGTATTTCCCGAGCCACCTGCTGGATTTCATCTTGTAGAGATTGGTGTTGCCATTGTGTCCTCTTGAACTCACCCTGACTACTAGGAATGGCCATGGGATAGTGTGGAGGTGGGCGAGATAGTGAGGCACACACTGGAACAGTCTCCCCAGAGAGTTGCCATAGCTGTGATACTTCCCATTTCCATTGTTTCCTTACATTTCAAAGTATTTTTACATGTGCTATTTACATATACATTCACCAGATGTTTACTGAATGTCTACTGTGTACCACGTCCATATCTCAGGGCAAACAGTTGGGATACAGTAGTAATAAATACAAACGAAAGAAGTTTGTCCTCGTGAACTTACGTAGAGCAGAAGTTATCTCAAATGCTTCTCATTATGATGCGTCAGGGAGGCTGGACCAAGAGCTATGAGTCTCCTTTATGATTAAGATAAACCGAGGCTCAGAGAAGTTAAACGTCCTAATTAAGTGTACACAACTAGATAGTGGCAGAACCCTGGAAAGCCCAGACCACCTAAATCCTTCGCTATTACTCTTTCCGGCATAATATTCTCTCTTGACTTGCACCATGAAGGCCCTGCTAGAACCTCATGAAGTCATTTTGGTCATCACCTTCCGTTTCCTGTCCCCCATTCAAGCCTCTCGGCAGCACCACATGTCAAGAGAAGAGGGTTTTGCATGTTCCCACGGCACCCACCCATTCCAACAAATCACAGCTCCCTCTTCCTTGAAATTCTGTTGTGTCTTGAATTTAAACTCTTCATGCTACGAGCTCATTACTTCCCGTCTTCCTCCATTCTCCGTGGAAGTGAAGTGAGGCATCTTTGATGGACCTGAGGACAATCCCCAAAGCTCCTCCTCTCTGGAGCCATTGACAGATGTCTACATCCAGCCCTGACTTGTTTTGTCTCAATTAATCAGCAAACCCTCACCTGTAGTGAGGGTTTAGTCATTTTCACCCCTATTTTAGTTCCTCTTATAGAGTTAAAATGACTGTTTTACCTATCAGACCAAAATTTAATGGCTAAAACAAGATTTAAGAAGTAATATCACCTATATGCGGAATCTAAATTTTAAAAAATGACACAAATGAAATTACTTACAAAACAGAAACAGGCACACAGACTTCAAGAACAAACTTTTGGTTACCAGGGGTAAAGGGTGGGTGGAGGGATAGACTGGGAGTTTGGGATTGACATGTACACACTGCTATATTTAATATAGATGACCAACAAGGACCTACTGTAGAGCACAGGGAATTCTGCTCAATATTCTGTAATAACCTAAATGGGAAAAGAGTTTGAAAAAGAAGTAACTCTGGGACCAGTTGATAAGTTCACGGAGGGGGGATTTCATGGTTTGTTGTTAGAATGAGGTTTTGGCAAGCTTCAGTCCAGCAAACAGTCTTTTAAAAGAGAAACTAGACCAAAAAAATGTTCAGAGGAGTTTTAACATAATAGAAAGAGATGAGAATTCAAGTCAAAACCAGAGTCAGTCTCAGCTCTGCTGTTTACTGTTTGTCTTGGGCTGATTGTTTAAAAGTCTCTGTGCATTTATCAAATTCAGTTACTAAAAGGCAAAACAAATAATACCTGGAAGGGTTTTTATTCAAGAAAATGATAGAATATTTGTAAAAGGGATTTCTCCACCATAGCATGCAAGGTAAACAGTAGTGATTGGAATGATGGTCACTATTGCTAGTTGTGGAATGGAATAGGGCTGCAGTATAAACTCATGGATTATTTTATCAGTCTGTTTGCAGACTTCATTTTTGTCTTCACCTCCAGAGTGCCGGAATAGCTTGCCTGTGGCCTCTCCTTTTCCCTCCCTAATATGGCAATGACACCTGGCCCATTTCTCATGCAGGAAAGTATTAAAGCTCTAGCAGGTATCTCCATGACAACAGAGATTGTTTTGTTTTCCCTGTATCCTCCGTACTGGGAACAGTCTCTTTCTTACAGCAGGCATCCAAAGATATGTATGGGAAGGATGAATATATCAGAACTTGCCTCAAGGCCCATGGGAGAAAGAGATCAGGAAGAACTTTGTGTAAAGAAAATGCAATGGTTGAGCCTTTGAATGGGGGAGAAGTGTTGATACTAATGTTACAGGAGACAAGGAAGGCTTTGTCCTGGCATGTGGGTATATGACTTGGGCTCTGAGGCAGACAACCTGTGACGTCTGCTAATCCCAAGGTCCCAACCTGTCCCAGGACTATCCCATAAGCTGAACATCCATGGTCTTACAGATTCTGACATGCAGGAACTACAAGGGCTCTTGTCCTCCACGCTGACCTACCCTTGGCTTGTACGACGAGAAAACTGAGGTCGAGAGAGTCACCCAGAAGCAGAGCAGAGACTGGAATCCAAGCTCCGGATTTTTAGTGAAAAAGACCCCTTTTCCTTCCAGAGGAAACATTCCATCATTTGAAAACTAAATGCTGATTGTTTGCGCGTTACTTTGCCTTGTTCAAGTGTGGAGAGAAGAATTGGTTTCTTTCAAAGTTTAGTGGTGGTCTTGTTTATAGGGGAATGCTGGACAGCCGAAAGATTTTACCAAGAAATCGCTGGGTTTCCTAACAATCCCTTGGTGTACAATATTACCGAGGCCCTCTCCTCATCCAGCCCGTGTGTGTTTTTCCTTCCCTCTTGAAATTGTCAAACTGACATAATTAACTAATCTGTTAGCTAAATAAATCGCTGGATCCCAGCAAGAATTTTTACTGAGGCATCATTGCCCCGCACCGCGCTGCGTGAAGGACTGTCGACACCGCGTTGATAGATGTATGGCAAAGGATTCTGTTTGAGAGACAGCTCTCTCCTTCTCCCTGAGCATCGAACATGGCTGGCAGGCTACAGAACAGATGTCATGGAGCGTATGTGAGAAATCCACCAATTCCTTAGAGTATTTTGATCCCACAAGGTTCACGGAGCCTGAAGGCACGTGGGATGCAGACTGATAGCCCAGGGGTGGACTCCAGTCCTGGTGGGCCTCAAGCAGAAGCTGCGGTTACTCTGCAGTTGTTTTTCTGTAGAGAACTGTGCTCTGACACAGGGGATGCCCTTACTAACCTCCAGAAGTCTCTGACATCCCCTGAGGTAGATGAACACACTGTTATTGCTTTACTTTTATTTTTAGGAATATTCATTTGTTAGCTCTTTAAGAGCAGGGCCCACTCTGTCTTTTTTTTTTTTTTTTTTTTTTTTTTTTTTGGTCCCCGGGCCTCTCCCCTTTTTGGCCTCTCCCGTTGCGGAGCACAGGCTCCGGACGCGCAGGCTCAGCGGCCATGGCTCACGGGCCCAGCCACTCCGCGGCATGTGGGATCTTCCCGGACCGGGGCACGAACCCGCGTCCCCTGCATCGGCAGGCGGCCTCTCAACCACTGCGCCACCAGGGAAGCCCCCACTCCGTCTTTTGATCTATGTGGCTCATCGCAGAGCCATCTGGTAAATATGTGGCAGTGTTCGTCTTTTGCTTTCCATCCCAGCTTTTCTGTATTCCGGCAGATTGACCAATGATTGAGGGTGTTTTGGAGAAGAGTCTTATTAACAAATGAAACCTTATTTGAATTTCAACAGGTAAAGAAACAGAGGCTGAAAGATCGCGACTGGGGTGGTCAGTCTGTCAAGGAATTCAGAACGCCGAGGCACCAGGCCCTCGGGTGATGGACGGCTGCTCCTGCACTCGGTTTAATTAGAAGCATGGCTAATGGCCAGAGACTTGGAAGAGAGATTATAGATTCATTAATTAGGTTCATGTTTACACCTTGATTGTCAACTGTAATCATTTGTTTAACCCGAGGTCTCTTTAGTTCATTATGATCATTATTGCTTGGCTGGAGTTTTACAGTTATGAACGAGGAATCTACACGTGAGCCTATATATTCCAGCAGGAACCCAGCCTGACAGTATATGTTAATGTAAGGGGAGTTTCCTTTAAATCTTTGTTTTAATCCTCAGTCATCTTTTATTTCAGAGCTATAAACTGTGCCCAATGAATGCATTAATAGTTGCCCCTGACAACTGATAAGATCACCCACTTTGAGAACATCAACAATGTCTATCTCATACGCATAAAAATTTTCTAATTTTCCAAGGGGCTTGGGGATTATCAACTCATATGAGAGGACGCTATGAAATCGAATTTGGCTATACAGTAAGTTCCCTACATACGAACGAGTTCCGTTCTGAGCGTGCGTTCATTAAGTCCAACAAAGTTAACCTAGGTACACAACTAACACAATCGGCTATATAGTACTGTACTGTAATAGGTTTACTATACTTTTCACACAAATAATACATAAAAACAAACAAAAAAATAAAAAAGGCTCCATTTTTTTTGCATCCTTGGGCAAATGATCACAGAGAATCTCCCACTGAGTCAAAAGATGGAGGGAAGGACGGCAGTCGGTAGGAGGAAGTGCTCAGAAATGTGAATTATCTGCTCGCGCAATGGACAGGTTCATCTAGTACTTGCTCAGACCCTAGTTCTGTGTACATGAGCTTCGCTTGATGTTGAAGTCTCCTGGCCATGTATGGCATATTATCCATCTCTTCCAAGGTCCAGTGTCAAGCTAATAATAACTTTCTTTGCTCAAAAACCTTAGGGTCATCCTCAGGAATTAGTTTCTTAGGCCTCGTCACAGACACCAGCAGCACCCCCATTCTGTTATCTGTCATAGACATTCTGAGCCACCTGGGGACACAGGGCAGAGGTACTTGTATTGCCGCCTAGACCATTTGAAGAAACTTCTCTAGTTTGGTGTCCCGCCCAGAGCCGGCAGCTTTTCAGATCGCTCGGTTAATGGACTGGAACAGCACATCCAATTTTGTTCTTGTGGTCTCCAAAATCAAAACAATCATCAAATCCCCTTCTTAACAGTAGATAGAAGTTCCGGCTTCTCTGTCCCTTTACAGTGGATATTCAAACATAACCCAGTGTCCTGAACTTCCTAGAAACTTCTATGAGATGACAGGTTCCGTGTTTTTGTTTTGGAATTTTATTTTATGTTTTAATTTTTATTTTCTATTGGAGTATAGTTGATTTATCATGTTGTGTTAGTTTCAAGTGTACAGCAAAGTGATTCAGTTATACATGTACATGTATCTATTCTTTTTCAGATTCCTTTCCTATATAGGTTATTACAGAATATTGAGTAGAGTTCCCTGTGCTGTACGGTAGGTCCTTGTTGATTATCAGGTCCCATATTATTGTGTGGGATTTATCTTCCATGACGTGCATTATGGAAGATAAATGGATAATATAGATAGTGTGGATTTATCTTCCATAATATAAGTTCCCTAGGCATCTAGGATGACCATTACTTACTGTCCCTCAGTATATAGCCCTTTCATCACCTTATTATCCTCATTCTCTGTGCTATCTAGAAGCAGCCACCCCACAGAACGTTCCTTGATTTCATCGTATCGTCCATACTTTTCCAAAGCAGTGGCCACCCCATCTCCCAAAGCTTTCTCTTCAATGAGCACCACATTCTAAGTAGCCATAGGCAATAACCCAATTAACTGTTTCAATGCTACAGGTCATGACTTGCCAAATTAGTATTACTTAATATTAGGTGGATTTTCATTGGCTTTGTCTCAACTGGACCCAATTCCCCAATTTCACTTCGGATTCCTGGATACCACAGTCTGGAACCAATTCCTGTCTTATTTAGAGTTTTGGTTACAAATAACCAAAACCAACTGAGCTCACTTAAACAATATAAGAGTTTTAGGAGGACATATTGCAGACGGGGCTGGCTTCGAGGGTGTGCGACCACTGCACTTTCACCAGGCCCCATGCTCAGAGGTTTAAGGCTTTGCCGTCGCCATCTTGAAATTCTTAATTTTCGATTTTAACTTGTGTTTTGTAAGTGATGGGAGAGTGGAGCGGCTGCCACGAGCTTCGAGGCTTGGCTCACAGTATTGGATGAATAAGCAATGGATGCCCACCCAGGCTCAAGGCTTCAGGAGGCCCTCGAGTTCCTCCACTCTTGGGGGAAGAGTGCTTAGTGCCACATGGGAGGCTAAATTGGGTCGATCTGTGCCCAGAGGCACCACATCTTCCTGAACACAAAGTCTAACAGTGTTCTGTCTCCTCACAACCTCTCCCTCCCTCCTTTCAGGGCCCCCAAGGTAACATCTCCCGGACACAGAACACATTCGAGTATCAGGTGAGGCTGCACAGCTCAGAGCTTCCCCCGCTGCCCCTCCTCCCCGGAATCAGGGCAAGTGTGTGTGACAACGTGCGCAACCTACAGGCTTTATTTTCCTTCCACATCTCTTCTAATCCCCTTTACCTGCAAACAAATTTGTGGGGAGGCATCTAAGGAACTGGTGTGAACGTGGCTTTGTTTTGTTTTGCTCTTTCTCTTTCAGAGAATTTTCAAGTTTCCCCCTTCCTGCCTGTCTTTTTTCTTTCTTTCTTTCTGTGTGGGGAGTCTAAGTTCCTAGGTGAACAGCAAGTTCTTGTCCTCCTGACAAGTCAGGCCATATCCTGTAAGACGTCCAGGTGACAGAGGATGGGAGAAGCATGCAGGGAAACAGTTGACTCCTTCATTTCCTGAGGTTCTGCATCAGGAAATTACCTGGGAGGAATGTAGGTAGGACAACTGTCACCACTTAATGTTCCTCAATCCAAGCTCAGGGGACAGAACTTACTTTCTTCGTGATGGCTGGCATTCTTCTACCAAGCTCGGCATCACTTTTGGTCACAGAGATGTGACCAAATGGCCTGAATCTTCACGTTTCCCCGGATTTACATCTGGTCCAGCTGCTCATGCTTTTCCTACAAACAGTCGCTTGTAGTTAACAAAAAGCAAAAATAGCAATTCATCTCTGGTTAGCAATTGTACAACATATTTGTACCAAATTTATTAAATCATAACATGTAAAGAAATACAAACACCTAGTGACAGTCCAGTATCTTTCTGATTAAGCTTCATGACTTCCTTTCAGGGATCAGAAACAAAGGGAAAAGAAAACCTTCATGAGACACTGAGTCTGAGTGTCTGTCTGTCCTGTCTGTCCTGGGGTCTGGGGCAAGCTCCGCTCCCACCTCAGGCCTGGGCAGGGCCTGGGAGTAAAAGTTACTCCTGGACAGTCAGGCCACTTTCCCTCTCTTCCCCTCTCCCCTTTAGTGTCAAGCATCCTCTCTCCGATTACTCCAGCCAGTACCATTATTGTATTTCTCCAACCTGTTCCAAGAGCCTAAAATGGCTGTACCTTCCCCTCTTTGAAGAACTGGGATCATCTCATCAGCAAAAGAAAATCATTCTAGGATGCTGTTTTAAAGTACAAATAAAAGGAGAGGGGGGAAGAGAGAAAGAGAAAAAGAGAGAGAGAGGGGGGGAGAGAGAAAGAAAGAAAGGAAGGAAGGAAGGAAGGAAGGAAGGAAGAAAGAAGAAAGAAGAAAGAAAGAGAGAGAGAGAAAGAAAGAAAGAAAGAAAGAAAGAAAGAAAGAAAGAAAGAAAGAAAGAAAGAAAGAAAAGAAAGAAAGAAAGAAAGAAAGAAAGAGAAAGAAAGAAAGAAAGATAGAGGGAGGGAGGGAGGAAGGAAGGAAGGAGAATAAAATCTACACGGTAGCCTGACTCCCAGGATTCAAACCCAGGAATGATAAACTTGCAATCAGAATTATCTTGCCTGGTGTACATACGAATATCCTGATGTTACTCTAACCAGTGTATACGAGAATATACAGTCTACTCTGTTCAGAATTCTGAAGGTTTTCTTATTAGCTAATTCTGGCTCCTTGCCAGGTGGTATATACTTAAAGTGACCTGCCCCCTCTTTGTCCTTTGAACATTTAAAAAACTTGAACCACAATAAAGTTTTGAAAAAAGAAAATTCTAAAACTAGACTCGCTAGTTTCATAAATACCAGAAAAACTGAAAATGTCCTAATAAATTAGTGTGTTTTCACTTTTTACTAGACCTTGATTTCATTAAATGTTGGGTTAAGGGGTGGAAGGAGCCCTTTTATTTGATTTTTGTATCCCTAAGATCTAGCAAAACACCAGGTTCATAGTATGTGCATAAAGAAATAAGTGAATGTTTTTGCATTTCCCAGCGCCTCCACTTCTGCTCTTTCTCCTTTGCTGGGTAATTCAAGCCAGCCCACCACAGTCCTGTTGCTGGAGGGGCTGAAGCCCACAGGTGCTGTTCCCGGGAGGCCTGAGCAGAGAGAGGAGCATGGACTGCGCTCAGCAGGGGACCACTGGCCACAGCTCAGGCTGCTGTGCAGAGAGAGCGCTGGAGAGGATGCTCGCCGCCGCCAGTGGCCTCCTTCTCCTCCAGCTGCTCCCACCTCTCAGCCCTACTGGTAACCCATCCTTACCGTGTGCCACCTGCTCTCTTTCTCTCTCCCAAACCCAAGCTGTGGAATCTGGAATCCAACCACGGATGATGTCAACAATGCTTAGAGAGTTGTCAAATTTTGTTTTTGTTTTCGTTTTTAGATTTTTTTTTTTTTGACGTGGACCATTTTGAAAGTCTTTATTGAATTTGCTACAATACGGCTTCTGTTTTATGTTTTGGTTTCTTGGCCGCGAGGCGTGTGGGATGTTAGCTCCCCGACCAGGGATTGAACCCGCACGCCCTGCACTGGAAGGCGAAGTCTTAAGAACTGGACCACCAGGGAGATCCCGAGAGTTGTAAAACTTTGTAAGTGCGAAACCAAAAGCAATCCAGGGAGTGGGGACAGTCCCAGATCTCTGGCCTCAAGTAAGTTCCCTTCTCCCACAGTGTATACTGTGGTCTCTTG